GATTTATTTTTAAAGATTTATTTATTTATTTGAAAGAGTTACACAGAGAGAGGAGAGGCAGAGAGAGAGAGAGAGAGAGAGAGAGAGAGAGAGAGCGACTGAGAGTCTTCCATCCGCTGCTTCACTTCCCAAATGGCCGCACCGGCTGGAGCTGCGCCGATCTGAAGCCAGGAGCCAGGAGCTTCTTCCGGGTCTCCCAAGTGGGTGCAGGGGAACAAGGACTTGGGCCATCTTCCACTGCTTTCCCAGGCCACAGCAGAGAGCTGGATTGGAAGTGGAGCAGCCAGGACTCAATCAGCACCCATATTATGGGATGCCGGAGCTCCAGGCCAGGGCGTTAATCCGCTGTGCCACAGCACCGCCCCACCTCATTGTTTTAACAGAGGATCAGATTTTAATTAGTAGCTTTTGTATCCAGAAAATTTTTCATTACCTTTTGTGACTTTCTCACACCTTTTACAACTCAAACTTGTTTTTTTAAACCTCTTTTTACAACTTAAACCTGTTCTTTCTTAACATCCTTACCAAGAGCAGTTTTATACTTGTGACCCCTTTTATCTGCTGATTTCTTGATTTATATTAATACTTTAAAAATCTGTAAATTAAGACAGCATTTTTAAAATAAGATAACACATCAAATTTTAACCTTAGTTACTTTTAAGCAGTCTTGAATTACTCTTTATATACGGACTCTAATGAAAACATTTTTGTTAGACACATTTATCTCATTTACCTATACCCAATTTATATTTAGCAGTTACACCTCAGTGACTTAACATGTTGATATTATATCACACTTTTATCTGAATTAAGGTCAAAATTACATTTACATGGAATTTTACTCTTTTTATTAAACTCCAGCTAGAAATCAATGACATAAACCAGAGACCGAAAAACACACGTCAAGGCTGATCACCATTGTTATTTTTCATTCAGATCTGTAAAAACCAAGCCACAGAACTTTGGCAAGTGACAAGGCCATTTTTAAGGCTTTGGTCTTTCTAGATTTAAAAGAGAGAAACGTTTGAACATACACTGAAAAGGTGTCCCCTAGGCTGAGCAGAGCCCATGCTCAATGGAAGGGACAGAGGAGACAGAGAGGACAGGAAAAAGAAGTGACCTCCCAGGATTACAGTTGCAGAGAGTACATCGGAAAGTGGCCACAAAACAGGAACAGAAACCAGTACGTCCAGGAAAGGCCTTTCTTTAACCAGACCGAGCCTCCCGTCCTAACACTGTTGCGCTCAAACGGACCGGAGACTGTATTGGCGTCTTGTCAGACCTCCAATCCCCAGAAGGCACCCCCGGAAAACAGGAGTGGACTTTCCAGAGGACCTGAGGCCAACTGGTCAGTGAAGAGGTCGAGCCGAGCCTCCCAGGTCGGTGGATCAGGACGCGGGGCCCTGGAACATTATCAGAGGGCGCCTCCCCTACGGCCAGGGCACCAAGCCGGAAGGATCAGAGCGAGGTCTTCCCGGAGGTGGGAGGTGGGCTTCATATCTCACTGGGGCTTCCACAGCGTCGTACTGAGGAGTGCAAACAGAGGAGCACCGCACACTGATACAATCTGATGTCCTTTATTGCTGGGTGGAGAGCCGGCTCATGCCCTGAAGAGCTCTGGACCCTAAAGCCCAAAGCAACAGGGTTTTTAAAGGCAAAAACCACAAAATCAGGAGGGAATACATGGTTGCTAGGATCAAGGGGGAATACATGGTTACTGGGGTCAAGCTGACCTAAAACCTATGTGAAATTAATATCAATTATAATCTTGACAATACCAGTTACGATCCTAACAATATTAATTATAATTGACATTAATCCAAATATTGGTTTTAATCATATGTAGGACATAGACAAATTACATTTTTATCATTAACCCAGGTGCGGCCTTGAGCAATCATACCAGTGGGTTTCTATGCTCTGCCAAGTGTGATGTGTGATGCAGTTTGCTGCTATTGTCTGAGAGTTTTAGATCATAGTTTCAGACCAGAGTCTGGGGAGGTGGGGGAACCTTCCCAGAATGGAGCCTCAGGTGCTCCAAAACGGAGTCCCTACTGTCCAGGTGCTACTTCACTCCCTTCTCTCACATTGACTTATGCACAAAGGTCCCACCCTCCCCCCGGATCCTGCTCCACAGTGAAACCAGGCCGGGGATGTCACCTTCTAACATTATTCAAAGGTGTTTTCCAAACAAAGATTGCTCCTTTCTGAAATTAATTGTGAAGCCATATCTCCAAAATATGAAAGTATTCCCCCACCCGATTATAAAGTGGCTGGGATGCGAGTTCAACAAATAGGCCATCTGCGGCCCCTCTTCTCTCCATTTATGCAATACACGGTTGATCAACAATGATTACATCACCCCATGTTGTCTCTTCTCCTCTCCACATTCCTGTGTGGATTGAGAGCACACACTCATAAAATTCCTGGTTACATATATTTTCCTGAAAGCTGTTGACTGTCAAGGTTTGGTTTGGTGCCAAATACCAGCTCCCCAGTTTACCAACTGTGGCTTCTTGCACAAATTATTTAACCTCCTCTGGTCTCAGTTTCACAGTCTTTAAAATGAGGTGAAAGATCGGTGCATAGACTTCTTAAGAGGATTAAATGAATTCAAGTAAAGGGTTTAAGGCATAAAAAAGGGCTCAGTCACAGCTAGCTGCTGCTACTTTTTTCCTTTTTAAGCCCTTTCTCCTGGAATAATGTGCCTTGCTCCATTTAAAGACAAGAGAGTTTAGCTTTTGTACTTTAATGAAACCAGGCTTGGGTTAGAGACTAGGTTCTATACCACATCTTTTTTTTTTTTTTTTTTTTTTTTTTTTTTTTTTTTTTTTTTGACAGGCAGAGTGGACAGTGAGAGAGAGAGAGACAGAGAGAAAGGTCTTCCTTTGCCGTTGGTTCACCCTCCAATGGCCGCCGTGGCCAGCGCGCTGCGGCCGGCGCACCCCACTGATCCGATGGCAGGAGCCAGGTACTTATCCTGGTCTCCCATGGGGTGCAGGGCCCAAGCACTTGGGCCATTCTCCACTGCACTCCCGGGCCACAGCAGAGAGCTGGCCTGGAAGAGGGGCAACCAGGACAGAATCCGGCGCCCCGACCGGGACTAGAACCCGGTGTGCCGGCGCCGCAAGGCGGAGGATTAGCCTAGTGAGCCGCAGCGCCGGCCTATACCACATCTTAAAATGGCAGGGTAGGCCGGCGCTGCGGCTCACTTGGCTAATCCTCCACCTGTGGCGCCGGCACCCCAGGTTCTAGTCCCTGTTGGGGCGCCAGATTCTGTCCCGGTTGCTCCTCTTCAGTCCAGCTCTTTGTGTGGCCCGGGAGTGCAGTGGAGGATGGCCCGAGTGCTTGGCCCTTGCACCAACATGGGAGACCAGGAGGAGGCGCCTTGCTCCTGGCTTCGGATTGGCACAGTACCGGCAGTAGCGCGCAGGCCGAAGTGGCCATTGGAGTGTGAACCAACGGAAGGAGAACCTTCCTCTCTGTCTCTCTCTCTCTCTCACTGTATAACTCTGCCTGTCCAAAAAAAAAAAAATGGCAGGGTCAGGGTTCCACCTGCTGGTCCTGTGGACCACCGCCACAGAGGTTGGATGGCCACTAACTCAGTTGGGGCCTGCCTCCACGTATACAGAGACGAGGTGGGGGTGGGTGGGGACATAGTGAGAATATAATCCAACCTAGAGTAGCCTAAACTGGGAAGACACTGACTGCCTTGAGTCAAGTTCATTTCCAGGCCAGAGGACATGGATATCAAGCCTGGCAGGTCACGACACTAGTTAGCATCCCGATGACCTAGTTTTCTCTAGATCCGTCCTAGGTCTGATGTGAGTCTCTCAGAGTCCGCTCAAATTTCACAAGCAGATGGGAGGCACTGAGACAGCAAAGACCCTCCCAGAGAAGCCCCCAAGATTACTGTGAACACCACCTTCCCCATAACCCATTAATTCCCTGGAGACTCTGACGCTTGCAGGAAGAGACTGGTTGGACTGCTTGGTGCAACCTCTAGAAAAAAATAAGGTTAGGAATGGAGTGGGAGAGCCAGGTATGGGTTGGGTGAAACCAGAACCTCCCAAGGTGGCCGAGGCGAGGGGAAGGAAGAGGGAAGTGAGCTGCAGAGCCAGATCCACAGGGCACATGGTGAGGACGGAGACTACTGCATCTAGTCTTCTCTGCAGAAGGCACAGTTGTCAGGCCTGGACAGTGGCAAGGAGGGGTGGAGAAGGGGCTTGTAGGCTATCGAAGCTACACCGAGGGCAGCATCTACACAAAATCATTTAGAGTCGTGTCCCTACTCCCTACAGGAGTACACGATCCAGTCGGCTCTTCAGTCCTCCCTGCAGACACGGCTCTCCCTTTTGGAACTGTGGCTTCCTACTTGTCTGTGTTGCCATGGGTGTGTGGGGGTGGAGGGTGCAGGGACAGGGAGAGAAGCTGTGTGTTCTGACACTCCGTCCCCAGGTGTGGAAGCTGAGAAAGGTCTTGCCCCTTGGTGAGTTCTGACCCCTGCACTTGGTGCCTGCTCTCCTGGTCCACTTTGCAGAAGTGTGTACTTTGAGGAAGCAAGGCCACCTGGGAGCTGGAACCCAGGGGAGTCCACAAGATGGAATAAAGCCACCATGAAAAAGCAGCGTCCCGGTGACCTGCTTAGAGTCCAGTCTCAGCCTTGGAAGGCTGAGAAGACCGTCCCTCTGTCCCTGGGCCCTGGCCTTCGAGGCAGAAGTCCCCAAAGGCTGCCAAAGCAGGTGCATCAAGTACACTCTTCTCTGTGAAGTCTTCTGCTTGGGGGAGGGCCTAGGCCTTGCTGCTCCCGAGTTATTTGACTTCTCTCAAAGCCTGGGCCTCTCTCAGCTCCTGGTCTCACCAGCTCGTGGGTCCCTGTGGCGTTTAAACCTCACAGATAAAGGCTCCCAGCCCAGTAATCACCTCCCACAGAACCCTCCTGGTATCCCACCCGCCTCATCCAAACCTGCCTTCCAGACTCAGCAGAATTTGGAAATGCGGTCTGGGCTGCCCGCGCGCTCCCTCCCAGCTGGGTCTCGACCCCTGCCAGGGCAAGACACAGGGGAAGGTCCCCAGCGACTGGGGGAAATTTTCGGCTCTGGTCAGGCGGCCGCGGTTGCGAGAGCCGCGTAACGCGGCAGCCAGGGGCGCAGGGGCGCGGAGCCAAGACGCCGCCGTGCGCGCCTGGGGCTCTGAGTCCCTTGCGATCCCCAGCTCCGCTCGGCCGGCGGGGGCGGAGCAGGGCGGTGCGCGGTGCCGCCTTCTAGGGCCTGGGGAGGAGTGGCCCGGGCCGAGGAGGTCACTCGGAAGCTGAACTGGCTGCTGTCACACGCGCTCCGAGCCCCGGCTCCGCTCTGCCCTCTCCGGCGCGCACGGGTCCCTGGCACACGCTCGCGCTCTCCGGGCTTGAGTCCCGGCCCTCCTTGGCAGCGACACGTCCCCGTCGCTGAAGCCAGCAAGCCCTCCAGCCCCCAACAGGCAGGTCACATGGCTCCCGAGGTCACCTGCCCGTGGAGGAACCACTTGTCTCGCTTCCAGATGAGGACCTGGATCGAACCCGTGGTGGCCTCGACCCAGGTGGCCTCCTCCCTCTACGACGCAGGGCTCCTCCTGGTGGTGAAGGCATCCTTTGGGGGCGGGGGCGCGGCGAACCGCAGCTCGGGCGCGTCGCCACGGGACACTCAGGAGGACCACCAGCAGACTGCCATCTCCAACTTCTACATCGTGTACAACCTGGTGGTGGGCCTGACGCCTCTGCTGTCCGCCTACGGCCTGGGCTGGCTCAGCGACCGCTCGAACCGCAAGATCTCCATCTGCGTGTCGCTGCTGGGCTTCCTGCTGTCGCGCCTCGGGCTGCTGCTCAAGGTGCTACTGGACTGGCCGGTGCAGGTGCTGTACGGGGCGGCGGCGCTCAACGGGCTGTGCGGCGGCTTCTCGGCCTTCTGGTCCGGGGTCATGGCGCTGGGATCCCTGGGTTCCTCCGAGGGCCACCGCTCCTTGCGTCTCATCCTCATTGATCTCATCTTGGGCTTGGCCGGGTTCTGCGGCAGCATGGCCTCGGGACATCTCTTCAAGCAGATTGCTGGGCACGCAGGGCAGGGGCTGGTGCTGACAGCCTGCAGCGTGAGCTGCGCCATGTTTGCCCTGCTCTACAGCCTCTTGGTGCTCAAGGTCCCTGAGCCGGTAACCAAAACCAGCAAGGTGCTCCCCACGGTGGATACCGTGTCTGGGACAGTGGGCACCTACCGCACCCTGGATCCAGATCAGCTGGACAGGCAGAGCGTAGTGGGGCACCCTCCCCCGCTGGAGAAAGCAAAGACCCAAAAAACCATTATAGCCCTGCTTTTTGTGGGTGCCATCATCTATGACCTGGCGGTGGTGGGCACCGTGGACGTGATGCCTCTCTTTGTGCTGAGGGAGCCTCTGAGTTGGAACCAAGTGCAGGTGGGCTATGGCATGGCCGCAGGGTACACCATCTTCATCACCAGCTTCTTGGGCGTCCTGGTCTTTTCCCGCTGCTTCCGGGACACCACAATGATCATGATTGGCATGGTCTCCTTTGCGTCTGGATCCCTTCTCATGGCCTTTGTGAAAGAGACATACATGTTCTACATTGGTGAGTCTGGCATTCCCGGGGTGGCAGGGGGTAGGTGACCCTCTGTGTCACGGGGCTGTCAGCAGGGATGCTGTGGTCTGGGTGTCCCAGATCAGTATTGGGGTTGCACCTGCTACGTGGGAGGCACAAGGGAGCTGGGAGTGCATGTGCACTTGAGCATAGCTGTGTTGTATTGTACATTATCGATATCGTTGCTTGAAAGCTCACCAAAGTGGTGCCTGTGACCCCAGGGCATGGGGATGGGGATTTTTTTTTCCTGCCAGGGGCCATTTGGATATTTATAACATCATTCACCAGCCATACAGAATGGTCAGCTGAAAAGTTGGCCTGTTCTAGGTTTATTAAATTTCGAGTCCCATGTACAATTGCCTGGGCAGGGCCAGGCCAAATGTGTAAGGCAGGCCTTACACTGCTCACGGCTGGTCACATGCCACCCCTGCAGGGGTCAAGGTGGTGTGTCCGGTGGCTCCCGGAGTCAGAAGAGGTGCTTTGGGATGGACTTGAATGGAGAAGATGGGCCTGGGTTTCTTCTCCCCAACTTTGAAGGGATAAATATCAAATAGTCCTGTTGAAAAGATCCCTGACTTAAAATCACATGGAACAAACAGGCGATTTCCAAAAATGCATTAAAATTCTCAGAAAATGCCTTCAGTGACCAGTGTAATAACCCCCCCACAGACACACACACACGCACACACACACAGCTGCCCAGGAGGCAGAAGGCAGTTTCCATCTGTGGGTGCAGGTCAGAGAACCAAGAGCAGAGAGCTCTAGACTGGTGCTCCAGTAGAAGTTTCTCTAGTGAGCGAGGCCGTCTCTACAGTCCAAATCCATCCTGTGCCAAACAGGAACCACTGGCCACCTGTGGCTCTGAACACTGGAAATGTGGCTGGCTCAACTGAAGGACAGAACTTTGACTTTTATCTTATCTTATTTAAATTAAAGAGCCACACAAGATGATTGCCTAACATGTTATAAAGAACAACTCTAGGTGGTTATCAGAATCTATCCCTTGGCCCAGGTCACATACCTCAGAGAAATGTCTAAGAAATGGCAAGATAACCTCCGGTCAGCTCCCACACAGACTATGCAGATGCTGGAATATCCCATTCTCCTTTCCTTCCCACCAATCCTCTCTCTCTCTCTCTCTCTCTCTCTCTCTCTCTCTCACACACACACACACACACACACATCTGCATCTGGCTAATCAATAGGGCTTGAGGCATGTATGGCAGCTATGTTCGTAAGAACTATTTCTGGAAGCAGTTTGCCAAAGCTCCTGGCACTGTCTCCCAGAGATGTTCGAGAATGTCAAGGCCAGGCACTTCCCTCCCTGGAGAAGGATGTTGTGTCCTTTTGGTGGCACCAGCTCCAATTTCCTAAAATACCATTTAACTCTGCCAATTAGAGACACCTTCCACAGTCCGTCACATTGCCAAGTGCACCTTGCCCCCTTGCAGGGTGGCGTGCAGCATACATGCTATGTCAAAGCTGAGAGCATCAGAGTCCGGCTAGGGAGGGCAGCAGAGAAGTTCCTCGTTCCTGGCCAGGCCTCTCAGGGATGGTGGGGCTGGAAGGGAGGTGGGGCTGGAAGGGGCTTGATTCCGAGTCCCCCCTGTTCAGGGCTGGGCTGCCCTGTGCACTGTCCTCGTGTGCTCTGTTGCAGCTCGAGCCATCATGATGTTTGCTCTCATCCCCATCACCACCATCCGATCAGCCATGTCCAAACTCATAAAGGGCTCCTCTTACGGTGAGTGAAGCGGCTCTCTGGGATCCTCTGCTCCAGGCTGTTTCAGGGCTGCTGTGCTCAAGCCACAAACCAGCAGAAGGCACTCAAGAAAGTTCCGGAAGCATCTCAAACACACCAGGGACATACTGGTTTCCCTGCAGGGCAGAGGGAGTTAAAAACAGGAGGGTGGGAAAAGCTGAGAAAGCCAGTCACTGGGAGACTTCCAGCAAAGCAAGACACAGCCAAGTGCAGACCCAGGAGGGCGGGAGTCCTGGCGAATTGATCCAGGAAGACAGAAGGGAGTCCCTGGAAATGCAAGGGGTCCCCTGAGAGCTCCCCAGAGACTCGGCGAGTGGGGAACAAGGAAGGGGCAATAGCACACCTGTTGGTAACCTCTGTCCCTCCCACAGGAAAGGTGTTCGTCATACTGCAGCTGTCGCTGGCTCTGACTGGGGTGGTGACATCCACAGTGTATAACAAGATCTATCAGCTCACCATGGACAAGTTCGTGGGTACCTGCTTCGCACTCTCCTCCTTTCTGTCCTTCCTGGCCATTGTCCCGATTGGGTAAGATGGGAGCAGTGACTGCTGTTTGGGCGGGCCCTGTACTGGGGTCAAGGAATGGCGGAACAGCCCAGATTGATCGATTTGTAACAGTTGTGCAGTGGGTTCTGAGGAGGGAAAGTAAAAGTCCTTCTGCTTCCTCAAAGTAATCAGCTGGCAATCTGAGAGTTCCCCTAAGTCACAGGGAAGGAACAGAGGAGCCCAAGCCAACTGGCTCACTTCCTGGCAGGTTTATTCATAGTAACTTCTTACACTTCCTTACCAGAGGCTGGGATGAGGCCCCCTTTTGAACCAACCATTCAGCCCTCTGTCCTTAAGCTCCCTTTAGGGAGAGCTCACCTTGCCTCACTTGAGTACCACTTCTCACCTGTGCCTTAAAGGACTCCCTGCTCCGGGTCTGAACCTGGTGTGCTCCCCTGGACGGCCGTGAGCAATTCTGTTTATTTCTCCGGGAGAAATTGTCTTGTTGGTAAAATAACAGCATTTACGCCTGGGAGATTGCAGGAAGAGGGGAGAAAGCTGAGAAGTGAAGGGGCAGCGCCTGGTCCCGTGGCACCAGTACCAGCCTAAGCCAACAACATGGAAACCAGGGTTGGTCCGATTCTGCCTTCAGCCAGCCCGCCCAAAAGTGATACAGTGCAGGCCCCATTTGCGAGCCATATGGGTGATTTTGAACAGTCTAGTAGCCACAGTTAGAAAAGATAAATGGGTCAGGTGAATTAATTTTGACTACCTAGTTGATACCCACGATATCATCTCAACATGGAATCAACATACAAGATTAACTGATGAAATAGGTATATATGCTTAATAATGAAGTCTTTGAATTCTGCATGTACTGGAGCTTACAGTGCCTCTTGGAATGGATTTGTCACATTTCAGGTGTTCCGGAGCCCCCTGCGGCGAGTGGGTCCCACACTGGACAGTGCAGCTTTACACCGTTAGGCCCTTGTACCCCTCCCCTGAGATGAGGGTCTCTCACGTTTGCCAGTGCTGCCAGGAAAGCTATACATATCCATGTGATCAATATATCCACACTAAGGCCTCTGGGGATTATAGATTTGCATGTTAAAGGAACCGGCCACGTAGCACATGCACACTCTAGATTTCCATAATGGCAGTAGTAGAGGCAGCCAATAACTGAAGGCAGGTTGGAAGGGGACAGCGATAAGCTCTTTGGGAATTCTCAAATCACACCGTAACTTAGGCCCCTGCCTGCGTAGATTGAGCCTCCCTGATAGACACCATCCACCACTGGGGCTCTTTGCTTTACTTCACAGTTGAGAAAAACAAGACAATGAAGATCAAGCAGCCAGGAGGATTTGTACAGGCAGCAGGCATGACCAGCTCTCCCTTTCTCAGGGGAGGGGCTGGGACAGATCTGTCCAGCTTTTCGGCCTTTTCATGTGCTCCTGTTTTCATGTGAGTCATGGCCGAGTGGGCTGGACTTCCTGAGCTAGGGCCAGCATGCAATGCAAACTTCTGCAGAGCCCCAGCCCTCTGGTAACCGAGGAATGAATTCATAGTTTTGTGCACTTGAAGATCATCCAGTCATATTTTCTTGGTAGTTGAAATAGTCTCTTTACCTTAAACAAACACACACAACAATAATAACAAGAGGAAACAAGCCCTACTTGTTAATGTGTCATCAAGACAGACACACGAAAGCAATGCGAAAAATCACCCATCGGTTCCTTTCTGCAGATGAATCTGCTCTATGTATGTGCTACGTGGGATGCTTTGCCTTTGTTAAGAGACTGTAGGGCGCAGGAGGCAGGTGCGCTGCCTTTGCCATCTCACTCCAATGCAACGTGAACATGCATTTGAACTCAGTCATACATTCTGTACGTGGAATCTCAGTTAGCCATGCAGGGTCTTTAAGCTCTTTTATCCACAGAAACAGAGAGCAAGCAACTGATGGTTTATGCAGATGAGGCACTTAAGTATTGCTAATTGCTTCCCTCAGTGGCAGGTATTTAGCAACAAAGAGACACAGGCAAACAGAGCTTCGCTGTGCTGTACGTTGGACTCCTGGGGAAAGATTTAAAAATCCCTATGGCTGGGATCCCACCCCCCAGAAGTCTGGGGTGCAGTTTGGGCACAGGTGATTCAAATGTCCAACCAAGATTGAAAATCTCTGGTATTAAAATCTCTGGTATTACCTTTATCTTCCATGAAAGCACTAAATAAATGAGATCTTGATTTTTATAGCTGACAGAGGCCCAGGCTGTACCATTAATTGTGAAGTGACAGCAACAGGAAAAACCAGTAGAGCTTTCTAACCATAGAAGGAAAAGCTACATTCCAAGGTCAGAAAAACCCAGGAAGGCAATGTCAGAGCAGAGGGGAACTGGGTGGGCGGACAGAGGGCTGGACTGGTCATAGCCTACATCCTTCTTCATGATGCCAGGAGAGCTCCTTGGGCCAGAGCTGCCAACATCCTGTGTGCAATCCCAGATGGCTGTGGCCCCGCCCCTCCTGGAACCAACCTACCCCTTCCTGCTTGCTCTTCTTTACAAACAGTAGAGAGATGCGGACGAAACACCTGAGTTCCTGCCCCTCTACAGCACCCCTCCCCTCGGCCCCCCGGACACACATGTCCTCGGCCAATGCCTCGTGCCTCATGGAGCACACAGAGGCCACAGAACATGACCTTCTCTTCTGTTCGCTGCACCCATCTCGTTCTCTTTCCTGTTTTAGAAAATGGTAACAGCAGACACTGACTAGGCACCAGGCACGACTTGAGATATTTCACGTATTTTGACTAATTTAATCTTCCCAGACAATCCCAGAGATAATTATTATTATTATCATCCCCATTTTGCCGGTGAGGAAACAGAGATTCCAAGCTATTTATGTAACTCGCTGAAAGCCACACAGCCAGGAAGTGGCAGGGCCAGGCTTGGAAGCGAGGCGTTTTCTCTTATGCATTACATGGCATACTTAGAAAAGCTGCTTCTCCTCCCTCATTACAGGGCTTCACTCCACTACACCCTGCTCTCTCTCCTGCACCCTTCCCACCCCCCAGGACTGACACATGACCCGCTCTCCTCCTCCTCCGCCTCTTCATAGCCAAAGTCTCCATGCTGTCCCTATCTCCCATCACTTTGCAGTCCACTCTGGTCTAATTCCCCACCTCAGCCCCACCAGACCTGCTCTCACAAAGCCCACTATTGACTTCTTGGCGACTGAAGCCAGCACACGTGCTGCGATCATTGTCTCACCTAATGCCACGGCTCACTTTTCCTTTGGGAGGTTATTGTCACTTAGTGTTCTTATTATCTTTTCTTATTTATGTGAAAGGCAGAGACACAGACCTAGAAACAGACACGAAGATATCTTGCATCAGACACAGAAAGATCTTCCAATCCACTGGTTGACTCCCTGGTTAACTCCCCAAATGGCTGTAACAGGCAGGGCTAGGCCAGGCTGAAGCTAGGAGTCTGGAGCTCAGTTGAGGTCTTCTAGGTGGGTGGCAGGGACCCAAGAACTTGAACTGTCACCTGCTGCCTCCCAGGGTGCACATTAGCAGGAAGCTGGAAGTGGAAGTGGAGCTGGCACTTGAACCCAGACATGCCAATGTGGGATGCAGGCATCCCATGTGGCACCTTAACCACAGTGCCAAAGGCCCACCCTGTCACTGGGTTTTCCTAACATCTCACTGTCCTGGTTTTGCCCCTATTTCTCTGATTGCTTCTTCTCTCCAAACCTCCAAGTGCAGGAGTTCCTTGGGGCTCTGCTCTGGGCTGTCTTCTCACCTTACGTTCTCTCTCTAAGCAACATCAAGTGCTCACAGCCTTCAAATTACCACTTGAATTTCCAAAATCGGGTTATGGCTGTCTTCCTATCTTACTGCACTCTTGTCCTTTCCACCTCATCCAATGGCACCTGAGATCAGCAACAGCCTCCTCGTCCTCCCCTCCCCTCCCCTCCAACCCATCAGTCCTCATTGATTCTGCCCCTCCAAGGATGCCTCAAGTTCATCCTTTTCTTTTTGTCTCCACCACTACCACTCCTACTCCAAAGTCCATGGACGAGGCCTCAGCCCTCTGGCCCGTTCTCACTCATCTCTCCCATCCCTCTCCACCAGGTGGCCACAGGAGTTCCTGACAGTGTCAATGTCACCTGCTCAACGTGCTGCACTTGGCTTTCATAGCTCTTGGGATACAACCCAAATGTCTTTGCCATGGGCCACCAGGTCCCCCATCATGTGGCTTTGCCAACTTCTCCGGTCTCCTAGTCCTGCCACCGGCCCCTTTTCCCGGCCCGTTGCACATCACCCACAGTCCCCTCCCCTCATGTTCTTCCCTTCTTCACCCACACCTCTTTTTTTTATATATAAAGAAATTAGTAAAGTGGTTCTTTGTTTTTAAAGATTTATTTATTTATTTGGAAGGCAGAGTTACACAGAGAGAAAGAGAGGTCTGCTGGTTCACTTCCCAATTGGCCGCAAAGGCCAGAGCTGTGCCGATCCGAAGCCAGGAGCCTGGAGCTTCCTCAGGGTTTTCCCATGTGGGTGCAGGGGCCCAAGCACTTGGGCCATCTTCTACTGCTTTCCCAGGCCATAGCAGAGAGCTGGATCGGAAGTGAAGCAGCCAGGACTCGAACCGGCGCCCATATGGGATGCCGGCACTGCAGGCTGCAGCTATACCAGCTACACCACAGCACCAGCCCCACCCACACCTCTTTCTTAACCCGACTAGTCAGCGTTCTAACTGAAACACCATTTTCTCAGCATTTCCATAACCCATCTCCATCTAAACTAGTCCCTCTGCTGTGTGCTCCCAGAGTCTCCTGTATGTTCCCCCCAGCATGGCACTTGGTGATCATTCAGTGATTATCTGTTAAACATGCCTGCCCAGTAGATTTGGCTCCCCAAGCACAGAAGTCATCATGTGTCCAGCAGAGAGCCAGCTCATAAGTGCTCAACATGGATTTGCTTAATGAATGTTCTGTCACAAGGGTGTGGCTCCTTCCAGCCAGGACCACTGGCTAGCCACCTCCCAGAGCTAAAGCCAGGGGCTGGCCATCATCACATGGCTGTGTTGAAGTGTGTGGTAGGGGGTCAGCTACACAGACAGGGCTGCAAGTTGACTTCCCACGGCACTGTCCCAGTTGTCTCCAAGTCTTCCCTCTCTACTTGCCAGCCCCATAATACAATGAATTTTGTTTGAAGTTCATTTACTGCCCCTTCCTGGCAGGCCCAAGGGCTCGTGGAAGGTGAGGAATCATTGAGTTGAGAAGAGTTTCTGTAAACCTTTCCCTTAGAAGGCTCGGATTTAAGCTCACAGCCCATCCAGCAAACCAGGTGTAGTGCATCCATCAAGAAAAGCTATGCCCTGGCTCAAAACCTGAGGATCCCAGAGCTAAAATGAGAAAACTGAGGTCTCCAGACACACAGACCCAAGACCTCAACTCAGAGCTCCTAACTGCTATGCAGCCATTCCTCTGCCAGTGTTTTGAAACAGTGTAATGGTGATTTGTGGAAGAGATGAAAGGGCTATGGAAGAGGAAAGAGGCAAAAGCCAATCTTGACCTTGAACTATACAAGTACATAGGTGTGTACTATTAGGCCAGAAGTGAGATGCCGAGAGATTCGAGGAAAAAGAAAACACAGATGCAAGGGGTCCACAATGTTTTGGGAAATGGGGGGACATTCATCATCTCAGGATTAGAACTCATCTGGGGGGAGAGGCCATCCCTCTCCACTCAGCGCAGCCTTCCGATGCCCTCATGGAGAGGACCTCTCAGTCCACGAGTGACGAGGTGGCCAGAGGCCCCCTTGACATCAGTGGGGAGGGGAAGGCATGCCCTTTGGCCCATTCCAGCTGTTCTCACGTAATTCTCTGTTGCACATTCTTACAGAATCGTGGCCTATAAACAAGCCCCACGGTTGCAATATGGAGACATCCCAGAGAAATGAAGGTGGTGACCTATGGGAACTGAAAATGCCAGCAACGGCCAGGCCTCCTTGAAGGCCAAGAAAATGGAGAACTGGTGATCAAAGCAACCCACCGCCCAAGAAACCCCAGTTCCCGCTGGAGACCTCGGAATAACCTACTCTCGCTCAGGGTCCCTGGTGGGTGGGGGAAAAGCACTTTCTTGGTGGTGGCAGATGCCCCGATTAGGCAAGAGGTTGGGTTCTGCAGACAGAAGAGTGGGAACTTTCAGGGCTGATAGGCTGGCTGCACGCACAGCCACCCCAAGTGCCAGAGAGCTTCAGACTCCGGCTGCAGCCAGCCAGCCCCTTCTCTTTCAGGGATTATCTCGAGGGCTCCAAGGTATGGCCACTTGGGTGCTGTGCTTCAAGTCCCTTGGGAGGATTCAAACCAAAGCATGCATTTTCAACAGCCTGAGTGGCATAGGGAAGGAATTTTTTGGTAAGAGTTGCCAACAGTTTTGTATGACCAACAGAATTGTTTAAATTCAAATAAAACCCTGGGAAAATGTTAGCTTTCTTTCCTGAGACTTCGTTGGCTGGAAACACTTAGGACAGCCATGGAGCTCAGGTCCTTGGCCTTTATGAAGAAAACATCTAGACTTTGAGAGAATATTCAACTGACTAGAAAGTAGGACTTGCCAAAGTGGAGGAGGGTGTCAAGGGAGAGGAGAAATGCTAAGAGCTATTGGAGTGTGTATTTACTTTTATGGTCTATTTTACTCACATTTATAAAAGCAAACTCACCTCCTAATTAAAACCAACAAAGAATGCATGTGTGAGCAGTTAAGAAGCCCGTGTTCCGTATCAGAGTTCCTGGGTTCAATTCCCAGCTCCAGCTCTGGACTCCAGCTTCCTGCCAACCCAGACCTTGGGAGGCAGCGGCGATGGCTCAAGTAGTTGTGCAACTGCCACCCACATGAGAGACCTGGATGTAGTTCCTGGCTCTTGGCTTTGGCCTGGCTCAGTCCCAGCCTTTGTAGGCATTTGGGGAGTGAACCAGTAAATGGGAGTACATTCTCTCTCTCTCTAATAAATACTTCTTTACAAATATGAGTATGTAAATCTTTCTTTCCCAGGTCAGAGTCCCTCAGTAACCGCAGACATGGCATCACACTGGGATAAAACAGAAGCTGGAGAATGTATTTACATCTCGGGGCATTTGGGCTGAAAGAGCCTGAACTTTTTGCATCTTCTTGCAGGGAATGAAGAAAACTTTATGGCCCATCTCTGAGGGAACTTCAAAAAGTTGTGGAAAAGTGGAATTAAGAGATGTTTGTTTTGGTGCAAAAAAATATCCATGCATTGCTTTTTCATAATATGCATTGTCCATGAACTTTTTTTTTTTTTTTTGACAGGCAGAGTAGACAGTGAGAGAGAGAGAGAGACAGAGAGAAAGGTCTTCCCTTGCCGTTGGTTCACCCTCCAATGGCCGCCGCAGCCGGCGCGCTGTGGCCGGCGCACCGTGCCAATCCGATGGCAGGAGCCAGGTACTTATCCTGGTCTCCCATGGGGTGCAGGGCCCAAGTACTTGGGCCATCCTCCACTGCACTCCCTGGCCACAGCAGAGAGCTGGCCTGGAAGAGGGGCAACCGGGACAGAAGGTGGAGGATTAGCCTAGTGAGCCACAGCGCCGGCCTCCATGAACGTTTTGCAGTCCCCTCCTATGTGCATGGAGAAAAGCAAAACAGAGATGTGGAGAAAGATTTGGAAGCTAGAGGTCAACAGGAATTGGTGATGGATGGAGAGGGTGAGGCAGGATGACTCAGCTTTGGGGTTCAGGAGGACGGAAGAAGGGAAGCCCTTCACAGAGGCAGGCCCGAGCAGAGACGGCAGGTTGAGAAAGGCAAGTTCTAGGCCAAACACCCACCAACATATTCATTTCTCTTGACATCCTGCCTTCCACTCCAGCCCCCTTCCTGTTCCCCAACCTGAATGGTTGTCCTTCGCGCTGGAAGTCTTCTACCAGACACAGGGCCGGCTGCACCCCAACCTGCGCCGGACCATCCAGCAGATCCTGTCCCAGGGCCTAGGCCCCAGCGCAGAGCCCGGCTCCCAGCCAGGCAAGGAGCCAGCCTCGGCCCTGCCGGCCCTGCTGCTGGGGGAGGAGGCCCCCGGCGGTGCCCTCGCTCTCAGGGACGTCGACGTGTCCGCCTAGCCCCCGCCCCTCCGACGACACGACTGTGCCTTCCGTGGTCCAGGCCGCCGGGCTGTGCCTTGGCTCTGGCCAGGAGCTCTGCCCGGGCCCTCGAGCCCCTGTCGCGGGCTCCCCTGGGCTGGGGTGTGGGGACGGGCGGGGGCCTCCTCATGTCCAGCAGAGGCCTGCAGACCCGGCCAGCCCCTCCCAGGTTTCTTGCACTGCAGGCCCCAGGCCGGCCAGCACACACCACGCCTCCATCTTGACACTGACAACGTGCCACGACCGGACACCAGCACCTGCCGGGCACTGCCCCAGGAGCCACAGTGCCCACGCCCCACAGCCACCACCACACTGTGCCTTACGTCTGCCGGGAGCCCCAGCCTGCACTGTCCCCACAGAGCCCTGCGCCTGCCCCTGCCGGCCCCTGGCAGAGGGACGAGGACACAGGCGTCCCCTCCGTGTGGGCAGGGCCTGCCAGCAGTGGGTGGATGTCCCCTCCAGGGCCCGGGAGGAGGTGGAGCCTGGACAGCTGTGGATGGCTGTCGGCCTGGGAGGCATGGGGTCTCCAGCCTGGGGCCGCTGCATGGGGGTCTCAGTGGTCATCCCATTAAACCTCCACCCTGCAGACCTGGAAAAAAAAAAAAAAAAGCATTGGCTTCTCCACGTCTACTCCTGAAGGGCCCATTCTTAACATCTAGAGAAACTTCCTGAAGTTCCCAAATTGGCCCTGCTGGGAGCTTGTGGTTCTGAATCTGAGCTGGAGCCCCTAGATCCTGGCTCCTTTTCAACTCCTCCTGTCAGCAGAGGGGCAGACCTTTGCTGCTGTCCCCAGATAACCCAGGGGTTCTTGGATAAGCAGCCTCAGCACCGCCTCGGAACCTGCTAGAAATGCAACTGCTGGGGCCCCGCCCAAATCAAACTCCAGGAGGTGGAGCCCAACCACTGGTGTTTTCAATAGATCCTCCAGTTTAGGAGCCACCATTCTGCCCTATGGGGCCTGGCGTGCTCCTTAAGAACCCAGGGTCCTCCTTGTGAGACCCTGACGGCCTCATCCCTGGTTCTCCTGCCAAATGCTATGGCTGACACCCTGGACTCCAGACCTTTCCCAAGAGGCCAGTCAACATCTCCACCTGAGTTTCTGCAAACGTAAATGTGCACCAAGCCCTCCTTCTCTCACCCCTTGCCTACGGTGATCACATCTCTTGAGGCTGTTCTAACTGGTATCAGCATCATCCCCAGCTCCTAGGCTCAACCCCCCGAGTCATCCCTGACCCATACTCCTCACCAGAGCTCCTCTCCCTCTCTGGACCACCTTTTGCCATGGTGTTTGTGTCCTATTCCTACCCATTCCACAAGTCTTCAGCCTCACCACAATCCTCCTTAAGGAAAACAGGGTGGAAACAGGTATATCCTGCTTACAACAAAACACCTCAACTCAAAGCACACAAGAACTGTTACCTTTAGTATTTGAGCTGGTCGTATTTCAACAATAGGAAGAGGCTTTTGTCCCATCAGGGCTGCCGTACAGTGAGAGCTCGCCAGCCACGAAGGTGCCTCGTATTCAGCATTGCCAGGACTGTTGGCAATCCTATGAGGAAGGCTTGTCTTCACTTCAAAGACCACAACACCAAAGACCCAGAGGGACCTGCTTTGCCTAAAGGCCACTTAAAAGCTGAGCTTTGGTCCTAAATCTTATTCTACTTTGTTGATTCATTTGTGCGACTGTAATCTTAAATGTCTGCTCTCGGCCAGGTTCAGCTGCGTTGAAAGCCCATTTCCAATGAAAAATGCCATGGCTAGGTGAACTTAACAAGCACGCTGGCCTCACACTCTGACACTCTAACAAACCACTGACATTTCTTCTTTGCTCACAGATTCTTCAAAAGCAGCACAGCCAACACAAAGGTCAGGAAGTGACTGGCCCTGACCCAGAAATGGATGTGCTTTGCAATAGGAAGAAGTCTCTGATACAGTGCCTGGGCTGGCTGCCGATCATGCTAGTGATTACGCTGGGGAGTATGGCCTTCCCCTCCCCCCCACTGATGCCAAGTGGCAATATGTAGGAGGGGGTAAACTGAGGCTAGGTCTGTGAAGTGAAGAGACGCAAGCAGACCAATGAGAGAAACATTTTCCTGTTGCTGGGGATATCCTGACTCTTGCAGGCCAACTGTTGTCTGTCCAGGGAAAATAAGAAAACACGTTTTTCTGTCCTACAAATGACAAATGAGAACATGACTCAAGGTAAAGAAAGCATCTTTGATAGGTTTATTGGTCCATAACTTTAAATTAATTGAGGTAAAGAAACTTTTTTAAAATTTACAAGCTAGTAGTTTATCAAGCAATACAAATATTTTTTTACTTCCAAATGTAATACTAATCCCATAGTAAACAATGGACAGTATTTTTATACACAGATATATGGAAAAAAAAAACTGGACCAGAACTTCGTGCCAGCATCTGTAATTCAACAGAAACAGCTTTGCATTTGTTTTACAATCTCTGGGTTCCACATCCACAACAACAGGGACATTCTTTTTCAAGTCCCAGTAGCTTTCTCATCAACACGCATTCTCTCAAGCACGTCTGTCTGTCACAGCTTTTGTTTTGGCTTTAGTGGCAGCAGAAGGCGACACAACACACGGAGGACTTTCTCAATGCCTCGGAAGGTGACTGCTTTTAAACCTTTAAACAGAAAGAGTGATTCCTAAAAGTAGGAGATACAATCCATAATTTGGACAGGTCCCAAGCAAAAGTGTGTTTTAAATCTCTAACAGTTAAAATCCAAGTTAGAAAGGTTGCTGGCAGTTTGTTTCATGGGAATGTATCAGATGGACATCATCTCTCCATGCATTCGACACTCAGAGATGAAGGGGGCAGGTGCACAAACGTACAAGGGACCCGGGATCTATGGGATCTACAGGACCAGGATCTCAAGAGGGGTCCAGGTGAACAGTGCTCACTGTTAAGAGCTGCTGGTTTGTTATCTAGTGATGGCCCAGGCAATGTTTTGGACCCCTTCACATTTTTTTGGCAAACTAATTTCCGGTCTCCCCTTTGCTCCTTCTAGTATCATTTCTGAGAGGTTGGTCTGAACGGTGAGCAAGCCGGCCCAATAGGGCAGTGGACAGGTGTCACCTGCTCCGGGCCGACCCACAGACAGCCCGGACTTAGCTGGTGACAGGGCAGTGTCCCCCGGGAGAGGTACATAAGCTATCTTCTTGATAACTGGTTTTACTAGTAAAAGCTCTGCTAAAATTGGCTCAATTCTGGGAGTCAACATACTCTGTTTTGCGTTTTTGGCATTTCAGCTGTGGAGAATTTCACTCGGAAACATGTGGCACCGAGGTCCCCTCAGTACTGGAAAAAGCTGTTCTGTTGAATCGGAGCCAACCTCGAACCCTGTTAGCATCCACAGAGTTCCCGGCTTCTGCAGGACGTGTTCATGGTGACTCCCAGTCCTCTACGACAGAGAGCGTGCCAAGAGGCATGAAGTCCACCTTTCGCACAAGGGTTAAGGAGTGGTTTTGCGGTCCCTGTGTTTCCTTACATTATCCAAAGTATCATTTGGCAATAGCAATATTAAGGTTTCTCCTCCCAAAAGGCAACCCTAATCATTTCTGGGGAGACTGAGAATGGAGGATGTCAGATCTCTAGCTTGTCAGCTGAATGACCGCTTACTTTTCTAAGACTCCTTCTATTCGGCATTTTAAGAACACGAGTTGAAGAATAAGGCATATTAGTAGGTGTTGACAAAGTCTCACCAAGGGTGGAGTTAGGCTTTTAACAGTCTGTGGCATTTTTTAAATTCTGGTTTTGTTGATTTTTCAAGTGCTAAATACATAGGACACAGATATGTTATTGGCCTTGTTATTTTCTTTCAAAGCACTTATTTACAAACCAGCTACAGTGGTTAAGAACTACCTGGGTGGCATCTCTTTTCTGCCACATAGAGAAAGCGTTGGATGGTCATACCCAGGATGCACTGCAAACACATGATGAAGAAAGAACAGTCAGCCGTTGTCACAAAGCCCCTCTCCCTCTCCTTTACTAGTGTCGACGGCCCTGCACACACTCTGAGATGTGCAACTATGGGGAGTCCAGACAGCCTTACAACCAAGCACGGATCCCTGATGGGCGGGTAGGTGAAAAATCGGGTCCCTGCAGTCAAAGCGAGAACAGAACAAGACAACACACCCAGCCCACGCTGTTAAGTGCGGCCCGGGAGAGGATACAGCTTCTGAACAGGGAAACCAGAGGGCGAGTCCAACCCATGGCCACCTGGCGGACTGCTCAAAGTAAGGAGACAACCCCCACATTCTCAACTTCACCTTGTAAATGAGGCACTCAAAGCAGCATTACTCCAGCCCTATGATTTGCCTACTCAGTTTCTAAAAGCCCCAAGAGTAGGCGTCTGGGAAGGCAGGGTTGGAATGGGTGTGCCCTGCCTTGATGACAGGCAGGGAGGAGTCACCCTGGAGGGCGGCTGGCAAACCCACTGAGCCAGAGTGAAGACAGTCCCGAGCCATCTCGGCATCGAAACAGACAAGGCCGACACAGTCCCAGAGGTCACCGCTGACCCTATCTTCCTCCCCTCAACAGCTCAGGATTGGTGTCAAAGCAATGCTATTGATGGCAGGACCCTGTCACACACACTCACGGCGTTTCTTGGGCTACCACCCTGAGAGAAACCCCACTGCAGACTGCCACGTGGGTACTGCACTTTCGTCCTGTTGCCCCATCACAGAGGCGAGCAGGTGTGCGTGGAGAGAACAGCCTCAACACCTAGAACGCACTCTGGCTGGGGTGGACGTGCACCATGGGAACAGACTCATCTTCCACTCGCCACGGTCCCCAGACTCACGCTGGGTTCTTGTGACATCAGCTGAAGCAAGGAGTCTGGAGTTCAGTAACTCGTAGGGTGACATCGCCTCCACCATCCCGCTTTCCCCAGGAATCACTAACCCTTACTGAAGAGTAAAGGCCTAGCCCAGCCCTGGCCCAGTGGGTGGCGAGTTCGCTCCTCAGTTCAGAGCTGCGGTTCCCTGTTTTGAGCAGAGCAGCCCAGAACCTTCCGGTAGAGCCACCACACTGCCGGGGAGGACTGGCGCCCACACCTGCTATCTTCCACAGCCTAGGTGTCTCTAAAATCTGCTTCTAGCAATTTTCTCTCCCGTAGCCCGGATTTTATTTTAAACTAGGTGAACAACTTCGACTTTCCAGGCTCGGGGCAGCGCTAGGGATGGCTTTCCAAGCTGCTGCTGCCTGGTGAGTTCAAGCCTCAGACCTGTCTATGTCAGTCTGCCTGGTGAAGGGGGTCCTTCAGAGAAAATCTCAAGGGAGATAAAAGCCGATAAGGACCGGTAGCCTCAGGACCATGACCTTCTGTGGAACCAAGAGGGGCGGGCGGGGAAACCTCTGCAAGGCAGTCTTTGGCTCAGCGGTCTCTGGGTTCCACTGCTCAAAGGGAATCTCCCTCGTGCTTGGTCAAGGTGAAGAGGCAAACACTGGGGCCTGCGGGGGCCACTGGGTGGGAACGGCTGGAGAGCCCCCTTCTCTGCCCACTGTCCCCTTCCTCCCGGGCCAGCCACCTTGCCTCATTAGATGCCAGTCCAAGGACAGGGGCGGGAGTCCCTTCTCGGGAAGAGCACTTCCCAAGCGTGGGGTTTCCTGGCTCAGCCACCAATAGCATGCCTGGAGGACAGAAAGCTCGCCTTGTTCCTCCTCTCTCTGTCGTCTCAAAGCACAAGAGTACCACACGGGGACCAAACACATGGAGCAAGACAATCGCCAAGGAGGCGGACTCCCTTCAGAGCCCGTCTCCTGCCTGCCCGTGCAGCCCTCCCCCACCCACGGCTCTCAGCTCATGACTCTCTGGAAGGACTGCCTCCTTCCCAACGACCCATCGCACGGGGCTGTTTCTGGACTTTGGCAACTAGCACGTGTGAGGGTCTGACTTCCCGGCCACTCTTTCCCACGGTTCTTTCCAAGCGTTCATTACACCGGACAAACATGATTAAAGCACAAAACCCTACAAGGCAAAGCTTCAGGGGTTCCACAGACGAGCAGCCACTGCTGGGTCAGCCTGGCATCTTCCAGCGAGGATCAATAAGGAGCTGTCCACCCACTCACTCCTCGGGACACACCCCGGTTCTACCAGGCTCCACCCAGACAGCCAGACCCACACCAACACGATGGTTTAGAGGTAGAATGAGATGCTGACTCACCACTCGGGCGTGGATGGATTGTTCTTCACCTTCCACTTCAGTGAATCATTTGTAATTGTACTAAGCTGGAAATTCACATCTAAGGACTTTAGCATGGCACGAGTGGGGTTTAACAGTACCGGCAAGTACCAATGGATATAAAAATTGCCACTGAAACCGTGACTTTGTCAAACATGACACATACCAGAGTCGAACACTTCACTGCTGTCCAAGGCTGTCCCCGACAGCATCTCAGTGGTGGCCGATGCAAGGTTTACTGTACAATTCGAAGTAGGATGAAGTGACTTCCACACGCTATGTGCTGACCTGCCAGTATATGCAGGTGAACTTTGCGTACAAAGCAGTGTCTTAACACAGCTCTTTCATTAGAAACAACAACAATGGACCACCACCACTTGTTTGGGGCTCAGGTCTCTAGTTTTGTAGGGATGAGCCACAGGTAGAAGAACACAACTAGGACATGTGTAGCTTCATTTCAGAAGGGGGAAAAAGTGAATTGGATGGCAAATCCTGCTTGATGGTCTTGTGTTGATTTGAAAAGTACACCTGGTAATCGTCTGAGATGGAGAACTTTGCACACAGCCAGCAGCCCCCAGCAGGCCCCAGGAATTTAGCTGCGAATTGCAGAGGTCCGAGCTTAGCTAGAAGCAAACAGTTCACCATCACACTGATCTGTGAGGCCCACCTGGATACTGACTGTCCCTCCTGACCAGGAAATGTTAAGGGTCAAAGCACTTAATGCAGAACATTCTGTAGTAAATTTACAAATTTCAACTGTGGTTCACAATACAACGCCCCAACTCTCTCATCAAAAGGTTGCCCCAACATTCAGTGGACACAGTAGGAGAGAGCAAGCTAGGTGTTTGTGGCGAGGTAAAAGGCAAATTGCACAAAGCAGACGCTGGAGGTGGGCTTTGGTATCTGCCCACTGATTTCAGCAGGGGAGGGGCTGCTCTGACTCAGGACAAAGAGCTTCCCTATCGGGTGTGTTCCCTGTTCTGCCGACAACTGGCAAGCAAAAGAAAAACGATGAAGACCTTCACGGAGAAAAACGCACCTTTTTTTTTTTTTTTTTTTCATTTTACACACAAAAAAAGTTGCTAATCTATTGCATTCTGCTGTCAGAATCAAGTTCCAGGAGCATTCCCCTGGGCTCCCCGAGGCACCACACAGGACAGCGACTCTGGCTTGCTCGCTCAAGCACGGATGCATACAGACAATGATTTCAGTGGCCCTATGGGAACTGCAAGCAATCAAACAGCTGTCATTCAACACAGGCAGGCTGCAGGCCACGCTCAACAGCCACAGGCCACGAGATGTTATGGATTCTCCACAGAGGCGCCAGCACCTGCTTCCAGGCAGAGACAAGTCACGGCCCGCAGAGGTCCATTCCAGAGCTGCCCCATCTCCACGGAAAGCAACAGCTGCCTTCCATTCGTGCCTCCGTCCGGTCCTGGAAAAGCAGGCCCCGGATCGCCTCCCACAGCGGGCAACGTGGCTGTCCCCAAAGAGAACACTGTCACAAGACGTGAGGACATCGGCTGCGGGCTGTTGTGTCCCTCAGGTCCAAGAGCTCTGTAGTGTTCGGTTTCCCTGGTTCCTTCGCAGCACGGGGGTTTGCGGCTTCTGCTGTGAGATCACCATGGCCTCAGGCTCCGCCAAGGAATAAATACGGATGGAAAACACCTGTGGGATGAAGGGGGAGGGAAAAATACACAGAGGAGAGATGTTTCTGCGGATGTTTCCCGACGCCACCTCTCTGGCACTGCAGAGACGCTCCGGCCCGGGGTGTCGTGCCCTGTGTAGGTAGATGAGTCTGTCCCAAGGAGGAGCTCACTTGGCCTCTTGCTTCTCCTGCAGCAGTGGAATAATCGACTCCCACGCCATGAGGCACTGCAATGACAACAGGTGCACACAGGGTCAGGATCAGGTTTCCGATCTCGGGGCCAGCTGCTCGGTTCCGTTCTCACCCACCTTTCCATTGTCAGTCCTGTTGGGTCACCTCGGTCTAGCAGCTCCTACAGGTATCACCCGTTACTATAATCAACAGGGAGGGCAGAGGCGCCTGTTTTGAATGCATAAGCCCCGCCCCTGTGAAAGGTCGCAATGTCTCTACGGGGCTCAGATCCAGGGAGTGGACACAGACTCACGGGAAGTTAAGTCTTTCCCTTGAAAAAGCAGAACAGAGCCCAGGCAGGAAGGCCTGTGGAGGTCCTGGGTGACACCGATCCGGGCATGGACGGTGCTTGTGTAAGACAGCAAGGGCGCCAGTCATAATGGGATGGGCCGGTGACAGAGTCCCAGCAGTGGGAGCCCCACTCTTCTTCCCCAACCTCACATCTGCTTGTTTGGGCCACTGCAGGACTCCCCGAAAAGGAGAACGCAGGAAGGAGACCCAACGCCTGTTGAGTTTTATTGCATCCAAACAGTTACATATTCTGCATTCGGTATCAACAGTCCTCAAAGCTTCTCCAGGAAGTCACACTATGATTCTCTCTTTCATTCACACTCACACTCACACACACACACGCACACACACTATTCATTTCACAGATGAGGAAAATGACACTTGGGTTAAAAAGCTGTGCCAAGACACAGAGCTCGTGATTCCACACTGATGTCCTTTCCACTACACAAAGCTCTTCTCACTCGAGACCTGTCGCTCCCCGTCTTCGTGGAGGAACGACACAGGACCCTGCGCTGTTCCCCCGTCTGCTCGGCCCTCCCCGGGTTTGCTGCTGGTTCTTCCCGGGTTGGCTACTATCCCTTCCACCTCCGTGGAAGGGCAGTTCCCCCTGGCCGCATTCCCCACTTCCGCAGGGGAGCGGCACACCGCCGGCCAGCTCTTCTCGGGGGCTGCACAGGTGTTCCCCTTAGATGTTCCCCATAGATGTTCCTGGTGCATGCCGTCTCTCTCCTCCTTTATAGTCCTCCTCCGCCAATCCCAACTCGGCTGCCCACACGCCGAGTACGCTGCTCTCCTCCAATCAGGAGCAAGTCCTACAGTTTATTAGTTGAACTGGAGGCAGCTGTGCGGAAGCTGTTTACTTCTCTCCCAACGCCATGTTGTGGGAGAGCAGATGCATAGAATAAGTCTTAATTTCAGTAACTTAGTCCAGTCCGGATTGCTCCCCACAAGACCCCGGAGAAAGGCCAAGCACGTGGAAGCCTCTGGCACCGTCCTCCGAGAGCGCCTGCTTCCCAGGGATGATCCTCCTCTGAGCGTGAAGGGGAGGGCAGGTGGACGGCGCTGGGCCTTTGTGCGAGTCATTTGGGGAGGCGTTCTGAGGAGGACAGGGGCACCGTCAGGCCACGCGGGAGGCCTGAGTGGTGCAGTTGCTCCCTGACTCCTGAGTGCTGGGATTCATCACCAAAGGGAACGATGCAGACACTCAATCTGGTTGGTTCTGGAGCAGAGAGAAGCATCAGAGAACCATGGAGGGAAGAGTGAAGGGGTCAAGGAAGCAACGCTTGCTGAGTGCCTACCACGCGCCAGCTGTGTTGGAAGTACCCGCATGTGCTCTGTTTGGCTGTATCTCTCCAGCCCTCCAGTGGGGAAGGACCATGCCCATGGCAGAAATGAAGAGACAGGCAGCGAGAGGCAAGTGCCTCACCTGAAGGCACAGCCTTGTTTTCCCGTGGGGTGACTGTTCCACCTCTGGGCAGGCAGCACTGTTCCCGAGGGGGCACGGATGGCCCTGTGCCCCTGGCTGAGAGCCGATGGGAACAGCTCCAACTCGTGGACGCATCCCAGCCAGCTCTGGTCTTGGCACAGTCACTCTCGAGCAGGGAGACCCTGGGCCGAGTTTTAAAACCGTGCTGCCCCTCAGCTTCTCTGGCTTTAGACTGAGGATCATGAATCCCACCTGAGACTGTTCTGTGCAGGTGAATTCAAGGAGGACCACCCGCAAAGCGCCCAGGGCAGTGCCCGCCCAGAACCATGACAGGGGCTCCCGGAGGCGGCAGCGAGAAACGGAGCACGCCACCTTTCTCCTTCTGCTTCGAAACAGTCCCTCCCTGCGGCCTGGCGCTCCCCGGCTCCACCAAATGAACTGGAGAAGACGCAGACACACCGCCTGCAGCCAGAACCATCAAGGTCTTCATGAGACAGGGAGGCTTCTAGTCTGGGATGGGGAGGAACTGCTGGGATTGCGGTGTTGAGCAGCTGAGTTAAAACTTGTCCGGAACACTCAGAGGCTGCTCTGCTGTTCTATTTCATGCCTACAAGTTACTTGTCGGACTATGATCAGGCCTTTGCTCCATATAATTGGAAGCTTCGAAGAAAACAAGATTCAATAACAAAAAAGGATCTGGGGGTTGGACACACCAGGAGAAAACCCAGCTTGAGGAGACTGGGCTAACTTCCTGAGAGTCCCTGGATACACACAGGTACTAACCTTGAGGTCCACAAATCCAAGGAATCCTTGAATCAAACTTTTTTCATTTTTGTTTGAAAGGCACAGACAGATATAGACAGAGATCTTCCATCTGCCCCAACAGCCAGGGGCCCAGAATTCAATGTTGGTCTCCCACGTGGGTGGGGAACCCAAGTACTTGAGCTACCTCCTGCTGCCTCCAGGCACAGGAATGTGGGCAGCCCCAGGAGCCTCTTTTTTCTTTTTTTTTTTTTTTTTTTTTTTTTTGACAGGCAGAGTGGACAGTGAGAGAGAGAGACAGAGAGAGAAAGGTCTTCCTTTGCCGTTGGTTCACCCTCCAATGGCCGCCGCTGCAGCCGGCGCACCGCGCTGATCCTGGCAGGAGCCAGGAGCCAGGTGCTTTTCCTGGTCTCCCATGGGGTGCAGGGCCCAAGCACCTGGGCCATCCTCCACTGCACTCCCTGGCCATAGCAGAGAGCTGGCCTGGAAGAGGGGCGACCGGGACAGAATCCGGCGCCCCAACCGGGACTAGAACCCGGTGTGCCGGCGCCGCAAGGTGGAGGATTAGCCTATTGAGCCACGGCGCCGGCCCCCAGGAGCCTCTTAACTGATGCACCAAACATCTGTCCCTAAACTGTTTTTAATTCAACTGCTTTGCTTCCTTTATTTTAGGTATTTAAAAACATTATTTCAAAGTCTATTTTCAAAAAAGACAGTATTTTGATTAGGAGCCCACAGGCATCACCAAATGACCCGAGGGGTCCCTGGCCCAGAGGAAGTGAGGAATCTGCATGCAGGAGCCCAACAGCAGACAGTAACCCCGGAGCCTCTGCGCGCTGGCGGCAGCCGTGTCTCCCTGACTCTGCCAAGAGCGAAGAGGAAACCGCCACTTCCACCTGAAGTGGTGCAAGGGAAAGCCCCGTGAGCAGGCAGGATGGGGGCACGCCTGGCACTGAGACCAAGCAGCCGAGGGAAGGAGCTGGAGCCAGCAGGATTCTTGCTTCTGGGTTCTGGGAAGCCCTCACCGAAGGCTCCATTAGAAACTGCAGCCTTGGGACCGGCCTTGTGGAATAGCAGGGAAACCGCCACCGCCTACAACGTTGACATCCCATACGGGCACCAGTGCAAGTCCCAGCTGCTCCACTTCCAATCCAGCTCCCTGCTGATGTGCCTGGGAAAGCAGTGGAAGGTGGCCCAAGTACGTGGCTCCTGCCATCCACGTGGGAGATCTAAATGAAGTTCCAGGCTCTTGGCTTCAGCCTGGCCCAGCCCTAGCCGTTGTGGCCATTTGGGGAGTAAACCAGCAGACGAAAGATCTCCCCCACTATCTCTCCTTCTCTCTGTAACTCCGCATTTCAAATAAATCAATAAATCTTAAGAAAAAATAAATAAATAAAAAGCAGCTGCAGTCTCGTGGGGCACACGGATTACCTTCTCATAATACTGGATGTTCTTGTCAGCCATGCCCATGAGCAGCTGCCGGAAGTCCTGCCTCTTGTTGTTCTGCCACCTCTCCATGTCGGCTTTCAGATCGGCGTTGAAACACTCCATCCGGTCCTGACACTTCTCCACGTCTGCCGGCACCTGGAAGGAGGAGCCACACGTGGGTGCTGCATCCGGGCGACAGGTACCTCAGCCTCGCGCACCTCTGCTCACACACGAGGGGAGGCCAAGGCACAACAGCCAAACGCCGTCGGTGCGCTCCTCCCTCCATGGGCGTTCGCTTGGAAGCACAGCCTTGGATTTTCAGCTCCAAGGAGGCGCTCTGCCTCTGTTAGGACTACCCTAACCCAGGTCTGCAAAGCCATCCCAGCAGAGACTCGCGGGGGAAAACACCCCGCTTACAAACGTGAAGTCCCGGGTCTGTGATTCCCCACCTGTTTTTTTTTTTGTTTGTTTGTTTGTTTGTTTGTTTTCCAAATACACAGAGCACCTGACACTATTCTCCTACGTCCCTCACTGGAGCTAGCAAAGCAGCAGGTTTTCCTGGGTCCCAGGGACCAGGCAACTACATGTGCAGACTGATCATGCCTTTCCCTGTGAGTCAGAGACTTAATGCAGAGGACTTGATCGCCCTCTTCCTCTGAACATCACCTTGCAAATAAACTGAGACGTGCTTATGCTCCTCTAGATAGCACGGAACCCGAAACACACAGTTAGACAAGTCTGAGAAAGGAGGAGGCAATGTATTTCTTGTATCAAAAGAATCTGAAACATAACAAAGAAAAACAGGGTAGGCTATTTCGTGTTGTTCTGAAAGAGCTCTGGAAGACTCTCATGAAGGGAGCGATGTCCTGTACGTCACAGCTCGCACTTGGCTTTGGTGAGTTTCACCCGTTCTGCACAGCTGGAGAGGCCTTTGTGACCAGAGGGACTTCCAAAGCACAGAGTCACTCAAGTGCTCCAACCGGGCCCTGGAGGGTGAGCAGAGGCTCCAGAAGCCCAAAACCTGGGCAAAAGCCCCGTGGCCAAGCACTTCCCAACAGCCACACACTTCCCAACAGCAGGTGGGGCCTTGTCTGTTTCCTGTGCTGCGGCCATGAACCCACACATGAACCCGGGCTGCATGGGTCAACTCTGAGCAACCAGGAAAGTTTCACACTCCAGCCTTAGGGGCAAGGCACTGACCAGCAGGGCAATAGCACCGCAAGGCCGGGCCTGAGGGTGCTGACCACCTGCAGGACGCCTGGCCATCTGCTGCAACAGCCTGGAGATGGCAGAGGAACCCATGAGGGGGGGAAGTGGCAGAGCCAAGGCAAGGGGGTCCAGAGGCGCCCGACGCTGAGCACTGAACTTGGGTAAGGCAAGGATGAGTTGGCGAGAAAGACGGCCTCAGACATCCTGGAAAACTTAAAGGAACTTTTGGAGTAAGCATTTGGTGCAGCAGTTCAGACGCCACGCGGGACGCCTGTAGCCCACACTGGAGTGCCTGGGTTCAAGTCCCAGCTCTGCTTCTAACGCCTTCTAACATGCACCTGGGATGCAGCAGATGATAACTCAAGTACCTGGGTCCCTGCCACCCACATGGGGGACCCAGATTGAACCCCTGTATTTGATCTGGCCCAGACCTGGCTGCTGTGGGCATTTGGGGACTGAAACGGCAGATGGAAGATCTCTCTATATATATCAAATAAAATGAAAATAAATAGAACATTTTTGGATAAAAGGAACTTGTAAGAAGAGATAGGATGCCTTCTTCAAAGCACGTAAGCTTCTTCCTCGGATGCCAGGGCTGGAGTCACTTTTGCCCGTCGCTGCCGGTTCACCAACTGCTTCCCCTCTCTCCTCCTCTGGCCTCCTCTCCTGCCAGCGTCTGGGTGAAAGTGGCCGGCCAGCCACTTCCTGTTTACCTAACAAAGCTGCTGCACGGAGGGAAAACCAGGCTCTGAAAACGAGCCTCACTGGTGCGCAGTGCGAATAGGTCTGATTCAGAGGGAGTCTGATTCAGAGGATTTCTCACCCAGGAAGGAGTCCTGGGTCCTGCTCTGCGGACAGGCATTCTGGTTGACCCACGGAAACTCGGTCAAAACCACAGCTCTGAACTACACGTACGAGTGCCTGAGTCCCCCTGGGAAATATCTGGCTGAACATTTTCACAACACTGTGCTTGGCCTTGGGGGACCGGAGGTGCTTAGGTCTCAATAGGCAAATCTCATCTCCTGATGCCCACAGTCCAGTTGGGTAGGAACTGGCCCAGAGGTGGAGTTGTGAGATGTGGCGGTGCTCTCCCTCCACCCCGAGCCTGGGGTCCATACGCCGAGGAGGAACGGGGGCAAATGAGCTGGGGTGAGGGCAGGCTCCCGAGGAGACAGCTCCAAGGCCACTCCTTCAAGATGGCAGCAGTGGGACAGGTGACCATGGAGGAAGGGCACCCCACGGCCACCGCACATGCAAGTGACCTAAGAGAGGAGATGCCTGGGCCCACCTGGGAAGCAGCTCCCAGGCCAGGCCACAGGGTTCTCAGAGGCTGTGGAGGGGTCTCCAGCTGGCAAGGCAAGGGCCGGGGGTAAGAGGACGAGAAGCCTGGAACTGTCCCGAAGGCAGGTGTTCTGAGGCCCATTTAACTCACGCGCGCGCGCACACACACGTACTCACACACATACACATATAAACATGCGCACATATACACACACACACACACGCATACACACACACGCACACACACCCCCAGGAGAAAGGAAAGGCCTTGTGCCTCGTCTGTTGCAGCAGACTTGCAGAGTGTGAAATCCCACACCAACTACTTCCTTCCCACGTGCCTGGGCCTCTGCATGTAATAGCACCATCCACCTTGTGACACGGCTATGAGGTTCAGTGAGATACCTGGGGCCTGGTACATACACGAGCACTCCAAAAAGTTCACAGAAACAAGAATTTAAAAATTGGGTGTTGGTGTTTCTTGGCTCTGGCCTTGCCCACCCTGGCTGTTGTAGGCATTTGGGGAGTGAACCAACAGATGGAAGAGTGTCGCTCCCCCATTCGCGGAGGAACGACACTAGACCCTGCGCTGTTCTTTCGTCTGCTCGGCCCTTCCTGGGTTAGCTGCCGTTCCCTCACTTGCAGAGGAACGACGCCATCCCGGGTTAGCTGCCGGCCCCTCCACCTCCGTGGAGGGGCGGCACCCCCCTCCCACCACTTTCCCCGCTTCCGCGGGGGAGCGGCACACCGCCGGCCGGCTCTCTCGGGGGCTGCTCAGATGTTCCTCAGGTGTTCCTGGTGCATGTTGTCTCTCTCCTCCTTTATAGTCCTCTTCCACCAATCCCAACTCTGCTACCCACATGCCGAGCACGCCGCTCTCCTCCAATCAGGAGCAGGATCAGCTCCTGCCATCGTCAGCCAAATTGGCGAGGCAGCTGCGTAGAAGTTGTTTGGTCTCTCTCTCAGCGCCATATTGTGGGAGAGCAGATGCATAGAATAAGTCTTAATTCCAGTAACTTAGTCTAGTCTCAGTTACTCCCCACAGAAGGGCTCTTTCTATCTCTGCCTTTCAAATCAGTTAAAAAAATATTTAACACCAAAAATTTTTGAAATCCATGCATAAAAGGGGAAGTTAATAGAAATGTATATTGTGAAGAAATTACGCATGAATTTCAAATTTTTTTCAACAAAATAAACACCACTTAATTCCATTTTCCACAAATGTTTTGAAGTCTCTTCATATAAAGATCAATAAATGTTTGTTAGTTCAATATTGTAAATGGCTGTTCACTGAAGAGTTAAAATTGTATATGTGTGGGTGTAAAAAGTTAAGCTTAAGCTTACAGGTTTAAACCTTCCTGGTGCAGCTGTGAAAATAAGACAGAGTGAAGTAGCACCTTGACAGTAGGGACTCCATTTTGGAGCACTTGAGACTCCATTCTGGGAAAGCACCCCCCACTGTGAGACTCTGGTCTGAAACTATGATCTCAAATAGTCGGACAATAGCAGTGCACTACATCACCCTTGGCAGAGCACAAAAACCCCCTAGCATGATTGCTCAAACTTAAAAGTAGAAAGGTTGCACCTGGGTTACCTGGGCTAATAATGAAGATGTGATTTGTCTATGTCTTAAGATCATAATTGCTGACTGTAAGATTTTAGCAACCGCTTAGCAACCGTGTATTCTCTCCCCCCTCCCGATTTTGCGGTTTTTGCCTTTATAAACCCTATACTTTAGTTCCTCGAGGCTCCTCTGTTCTTGTATGTTCAGAGAGCCCCAACATGTTGGATCAATAAATCTTTAACCCTTTGCTGGTTGCAGGAGAGAAAGTCTCTTGGAGTCATTCCTCAGGTGGTGGGCGTTTTCAGACCCTAACATTCACAAAAGATAATCTATCGTTTTCATAGCCTCTCAAGAATATACTATGGAGCTTTATCCCAACAAAAATTATTTTATTTTCTTTTTAAAGACTGATTTATTTATTTGAAAGAGTGACAGGAAGAGAGGGAGAGACAGACAGGGAGAGAGGGAGAGAGGGAGGGAGGGAAGGAGAGAGAGAGAGAGAAAGATATCTTCCATTTACTGGTTCACTCTTTAAATGACCACGACAGCCAGGGCTGAGCCAGGCTGAATCCAGGAGCCTGAAACTCCACCCAGGGCTCCCACACGAGGAGCAGGGCCAAGCACTCAGGTCATCCTCAGCTGCTTTCCAAGGTGCATTAGCAGGGAGCTAGACCAGAAGCAGAGCAGCCAGGACTCAAACTGGTGCTCATATGCGAATGCTGGCATTCCAGGCAGCAGGTTAACCTGCTGTGCCAAAATGCCAGCCTCTAAAATGATTTTCACTTTCTAAATATCAAGTATTACGTGCATATGTTTGAATACGTTCTTTCAAATGTTATGCCACTCTGCCACACTATGCCACCTTGAGACCACATCAGGCATCGGATGAGGCAACACGAACTGGGAAATGGTATGAGACTGCGCCGGGCATCCGTGACCAGGGTGGTGACTTTCACACCAGAAGGTAGAGGAGAGAGGAAGATGCCACGATGAGGACAGAATGGACAGATTTGGCAACCAATTGTCCATGAGAAGTCAGTCACAGGAAGTCAGGGAGGAAACAAGTTTCTAATCTGGGTGACAAGGATGGCAACAGAGCCACACA